CCTCCTGCAGCAGGCCCCGGGCCCAGGCCCAGCCACAGACTGGCACAGCCTGTGTTCAGACGGCCGGAGGCGACAGCAGGGACGCTTGTTTCAAACACGCTGGTCTCTGGAGAAGTGCCCTGCGCTGGGCTGCCCGGCTCCTGTGGGCTGAAACACCGGCATCTCCTCGGCCTCAGGGGGAAGGGCTGAACCCCGCAGCCATTTGTTCTCCTGGAGGACAGTGGCAATTAACCCATTAACTTGCTGCCTCTCCCTGATCTTTTATGAAACCTGGCAAACCCAGTTGATTGTTCATGCCCACCACGCGGGAGACGGATGGCCCTGTGACGCTGCTGGTGGCTGCAGGCCACGGGGCCCAGGGCGACATGTTCCAGCATCTGCCCTCCGGCCCCTCAGTGCCCCTTCAGTGCCGTTTAGCCCCACGCAGCCTCAGGGCACAGCCATGGGGCTCCCCCACCCCGTGGCATCTCCAAGTGATTACAGAGCCTAACACAGCCCCACGTGAGCAGGTGTTTCTTGGCTTCTGCCTAGACAGGGAGCTGACGGTGTCTCGTGGGGACCCTCCAGTCCTGGGTCTGTCTGCTCAGTGGAGGCGCTGGCTTGTCGGCAAAGAAGGTTGTTGCTGTATCAGTTTATTTCTTACAGCCTGTTGTGGTGTCAGGGGAGCTAATACCTTCACATCAACCTAACCAAGGACCCGTGACAGGTCCTGCCCAGGGGGCGGCCGCGGGGGAGCTGCTGAGCTGAGGCTGGGAAACGGCACGCAACTGGCGGATTCAAATTCAGGTTTCCGTGCTTTCCAGAGCGGCCCGTGCCCCACCCAGTCTGCCTTTCCACCACACTGGAGGAGGCGTCTCAAGTCCTGGCCCAGGGGCCTCTCAAGTCCTGGCTGCTGAGTGTGACAGGGTGGTGTCCTGGGAGTGCCTGGACATGGAGGCCTCAGCAGATGCCAAAGAAGGGCCCACAGCTGGGGAGGCGTCGTGGCGTGGAGGAAAGCGCTGAGCCACATGGACCTGCGTTCAAACCCTGCCACGTGGCAGGTGAACCCACAGTGGGAACTCCGGTTCCCTGGCACACCCACACCCTGCTCTCCCAGACAGCTCCCGTTCATCATCCAGGACCACCGAGCCCCGCGCAGACACCCTGCTCTCCGAAGGCGCTATGGCCGCGCTAAGGCCGTGAGCTTTCTAGCCTGAGTCCCGTCACACGCCCTTTGATCTGAGCTAGTTTTTGATGCGATACTTCACGGAAAAATGGAAGAGCACTGGTCACGTCTGTCTCCTACTGACCCCGAGACCCTGGTTTGCTCTGAAGCTGGAATCGCGAGGCCTCTCTGCCAGGCCCTGGCTGGAGGGTCTCTCGAGTCTCTTAGGAGACGCCAGAGGAGCGGCCGGCAGAACCCACTCAGAGTCTGCTGAGGCACAGGTGGAGGACGCCGGCGAGGGCCGTCGCAGTCTCAGGGAGCGTCCTGCCTGGATGGAGGAGCAGCTCTCCGGCTTCCTCCCTCCCTCACCTCCAGCGGCAGCCCCGGCACGGGCAGGGTGCCCCCAGGTCTGGAGGCCGCAAAGCCACCTCTCCTGGCAGGACCGCGGCCACAGCCGTGACACCAGTGTCTGGTTCTGATGAGGTCCACCGAATTCATGCCACCCACGGGCCAGATCCCCGGTGGTCAAAGCAAGTCACAAGACCCGGTGACTCACAGGAGCCAGGGGATTAGCGGTCTGTGCAGAGCCCCACCTATTCAGCAGTTCAGCTTTGCTTTAGTGCTTTCGAAAGAAGACAAAGCATGGCTTTCAATTTTTGGAAAAGCAGGATCACCCCAAACCACTGGGCCGGTGAAGCCGCCCGCAGCTCTCGAGAGGCCCCAGGTGCCAAGCGTCTGCACACAGTGGGAGTGGGAGCCTCGCAGGGCAGTTTGGCCGCTGCTCCCAGGGTCCTTCCCGGCTTCGCCTCAGTGAAAGCCAAACACACTCAAAGTGCAGAGAGAAGGACGAGAGAGAGGGAGGGCTGGGCGTGGGGCTCACGCCTGTCATCCCAGCACTTTGGGAGGCCGAGGCGGGTGGATCACCTGAGGTCGGGAGTTTGAGACCAGCCTGACCAACGTGGTGAAACCCCGTCTCTACTAAAAACACAAAACTAGCTGGACATGGTGGCGGGAGCCTGCGGCAGGAGAGTCGCTTGAACCCGGGAGGCGGAGGTTGCAGTGAGCCGAGATCGTGCCAGTGCACTCCAGCCTGGGCGACGAGCAAAACTCTGCCTCAAAAAAAAAAAAAAAAAGAAAGGCGGCAGTGCAGAGAGAAAACATCGTTCATTCTGTTTCCACAGGAAGCAGCGGTTGTATTTATTCAACTACACAAACAGCCAAGTTGCGAGTCGTCCTCCACGATGGCACAGCCAGCCATACAGCCCCACGCAAAGGCATGTGACAGCAGAGAGCAAATCCTAAGAACCTTCTGGAATCAGTCACTGGCACAAGAAAACAGAGTTCTGGAGACCACGGCCTCTCAGTCCAAAGCTTCTGACGGAGATCCACGGTACAGCCCCGCTTCCCCACAAATAGGCCGGAATTTGTGGTGCCCCCGGAGCCGGGCAGAGGAGACTGTGGGTGTGTTCAAGTGCACGCAGGCTCAGCCCAGCCTCGCATGGGGCCCGTGGCTGCACCTGTTCCTACGGCCTTCTCCAGGCACTGTCAAACATTCTGCCCACGGACTGCGCCCAGGAAGGTCAGTGCCCAGCTTCTGTCTACACCCTAAACCTTGTGGAGAAAGAAAAATCACACCACCAGACTCCCACGGTGCCTGAATATGCCCAGGCTCTCCATTTTACCAGAAGAGAGTGCCCCACACCCAGCCAAATTTCTTTTGTTTTCAGGCTTCTAAGAGAACTAACACTACCTTGAAAACAACAAACCAGGGAGGTGGGAGAGGAACACCAGAATGTGAAGAATACCTTTTTCTTGTATGTGCTTTTTATTTTTTTTTTTGAGGCAGAGTCTTGCTCTGTCGCCCAGGCTGGAGTGCAGCGCCGCGATCTTGGCTCACTACAACCTCCACCTCCCGGATTCAAGCGATTCCCCTGCCTCAGCCTCCCGAGCAGCTGGGACTACAGGTGCCACCACCACACCCAGCTACCTTTTTGTATTTTAGTAGAGACGGGGTTTCACCATGTTGGTCAGGATGGTCTCAGATTCCTGACCTCATGATCCACCCGCCCCGGCCTCCCAAAGTGCTGGGATTACAGGCGTGAGTCACCATGCCCGGCCTTTGTTATTTTTAAACAGTATGAAATTCAGAAGCAAACACATATACAAAAAAAAAAAAAACCCATTACATTTATTAAGAATAATCGTAGAGTCTCGTCCTGCTCTTCTACATCAAACGGCACCCACTGGTCTTGGTACACAGGAGCGGTGTGACGTCCTGAATTACAGAAATATCCACATCCAGCCATGTGCTGAGCAGACCAACGTAAAACGTTCAGCAGGTTTTCCAACGTCTCTCGGATATATTTAATCATCTGTGCAGAAGAACTCGAAATCCCAGAGCAGCTCCACTCCAGATCCAGGGCGGGAGGCCGCGTTTACGAGAATCTGCCTTTTGTGCGTGCCTGGCTGGGACCAGCCTCTGGGAAAGAGAAGCACCAAGACTTGAACGGGGCTGTGGGCTGACGGCTTTAGCAGCCACATAATCCCTCCTTTGATGTCCAGGGCCAGTCCCCCAGGCTAGGAGGAGGTGAATGAAAGAATCTCGCTGGGATCTTTCCTGCAAAGGAAACAGCAGTAACTGATTACCCAGTCGCCAAGAGGAATTCTCCTGAGCGCGCACCTCTGTGTGCCTTTGCTCTCCACTGTCAGGAGAGGACTTTAATCACAGGACAAGGAGGAGACCCAGGCCCATCTCACAGTCCCGGGACGGGTCACAGCGAGCCGTGTGCTGCTGGCCTGCTCACACGTGGCCGTTGACACCAGCAGGCTGTACTCAGGCTTCGCGTACACAATAGCTGCTAGGAGTCGTCCCCATTTCAGACCCGCACCCACTCTAACTGCTCTCAGAGTCTCAGCTCACCTTGCGGTGGGAGAGCTGGGCCCTGCCTCCCTCACACACGGGGGCAGACGCTCCCCTGCAGGCACGTGTCCCGCCTTCAGGCCTGGGAGCTCTTAACTTTCTGCCAGCAGGGTTTTCTGAGTCTACAAACCCCCATGCCGCAGGAGCACATACAGACGACTGGCACCGTGCTGCCGCCGGGCCAGGGAGGACGCGGCCTGTCTGCCGTGAGTGGGAGCCCCAGCTCTCCTGAGCCTCGGGCACTTACAGACACGAAGGCTTTTTGCTCAAGGGCTCGACTCCTGTTCCTGCTGAACTGAGCCAGTGTGTAAAATGAGAACTGATATCAGCTCAGTAGGCACCGGAGGGCGGGTCCAATCGACAGCCCGGAGAAGCAGCGCCTCAGCTGGGAGCTCCGTGGGCACCGTCCGCTGGCGCAGGAGATGCGGAGGCCTGGACTGTAAATACAAGAGAGAGTTCACCGCGCCCAGAACAGGAGCTCCTCCGAAAGCCCCACCCGCCCCGCTCACAGCATGAACCACCACGTGGTTTCACTCGACTGATGGGGACGCATTTGGTTTCAGTTTTCTGTAAGAATAATTTTCGCAACTTTCAATACATTTGACCTTTCAGACAGATGTCCGATTAGTGGATGTTTCTGTGGACAGACTTAAGGACTGAGTGCGCGGCTAGCATTCCCGGCAAGAGATAGTGCATCCTTCGGGCCAAGTGGTCTCTCATCCTCCAGGATCGCGCTCTGCACCCACGCTGACTGTGCAGCAGCGGCCCGCCCGTCAGCAACAGCCTCTGCCCCAGCGGCTCCAACTTAACTGTCCCCATCTCACCTTCTCTTCAGGTGCAGAACTTAGCCACTGTGAACAAAGCGGAAACCAATCACTGTTCACCAATCAGCTAAGCTCTGCACCTTGTTAGAGAGGTCATCGCTGGGCACAAATAAAGGGACGGTGACCGGTGAGCGTCCTCCTCAGCTGGTGGCTTCTTTGTTTCCAAAGAAGATGTACGAGACGCACCTGTCCTCCAATCGGCAGCGAGGGCGACCACTTCTGGAGCAGCAGCCAAGGTCGTGGTTGCGTGGTAATCCCTGGCAATGTGATTTTAATCTGAAGTCACAAATCAGCATGCCAGGAACCCAAGCAGCCAGAGCACCTGCGAGCAGCGCCGCCCCGTGCCCCCGTCTGCGCGCACCGGGCTTCCGCGGAAGGACGCCGGCGACACTGCCGCCTTCACGCCTGTTACACAGGCAAACAGGTGGAGTTTGTTTGCTGTTCGTTTAGTTGGCATCCTAGAGGTATAATTTTTTGAATCAAAGGGACTCGAGACGACCATAAAAATGCCAGTGCAGCTCTGGAACTGATGAAAACTGCAGGGACCAAGCACGTGACACACAGAATTGCTAAAGGCAGCTGTCCTTGCTGTTAGTTTACTGCCTCTAACCCTGGGGACGAGATCCCTTCTCTCCAGGCAGATTCTAGCTGCTCTGGGAAGCCTCTGGGGACTCTCAGGCCAGGAGTCCGCTTGCTGGAAGGGGCCCTGGGAGCAACCCCGGCCACTGTGCCTCACAGGAGCTGGCTGGGAGGGAGGCTGGCAACCCCGGGATTCATCTGGAGGGGTGGGGACAGGAACAAAGATGTCGGGGAGGGGGAAAGGGGAGACTCGTGACCAAGATGACTCCTTTGCCTGCTTGGGCCAAAAATCCCCATGAAGAGTGGCAAAGGGTGTGCCCCGCGGTGCTGCTCCTGACCGGCAGGAAGGGCGACAGGACTAGCTGGCCTTGTAGCTTCACACACTTTCACACAAACGCCACGAAGTAACAAAACGAAAGAGAAACGCTGCTTATACTGATTACTACAGGAGGCCGGCAGTGAGGTAAGTGCGCAGTCTGCGCCGCCGGCCCGTGCTGGAGGGGAGCCAGGTCATGTCTGCCGCAGGCGTTTCGCTACGCGACACTCAGTAGTTCGTCCCCCGTTTCCCTTTCCTGGCACACGTGGTTCCTGACTCTTCTGGAATATGATTATGCTTCGGAAAAACTTTTTATTTCTTTTCATTATTAGAGTTCTTTCAGATAAATAAGCTACTTAAACACATTACACAGAAATGGTTTTCATAAGCACAAAACATGAGAAGCAAACTCGATGTTCAAAGCTGAGCGAAGAATATCAACACCAAATATTCAATGTCCATGAAAAATTACAGAGAAGCTATAACATGAAAAATGCTTCAGATTTGATAAAGTTTTTTTTAAAGATACAAAATTAGACATCCCCTATTAATATAATATAAAACATTGAAGCAAAACGGAGCAGACACAGAAATGATAATGACTGTTAGAGAAAAAAAAATCCCACAGTTGTCCTGCAAAACTTGGTGTACCACTGCGAGGCTGCCTTAATAGTGTGGAAACCCATACTGAGCGGCACTGCTGGGAAGTAAATCTAACAGGTTAATTCCAGACACAATTAACAAGAAAGTGACTTAAATAATCCAGAACTCACTCCAATATAAGCCACGGTAGAAATTCCGCTCCAACACAACAAAGCAAAAAGTAGGACTTGCTCTCAAGACACAGGTCATGGAATGCATACGCCGCGTGTGGTGTGTGTGCTGCGTGTGCCGCGGCTGCTCTGTGTGGCGCATGCCTGTGTGTGCTGCGTGCGCTGTGTGTGGTGTGTGTGCTGCGTGTGC